AAAAAAACTTAGAATTAATCTACCAAATACGTATATTCGAAAAATAATTGATTACAATATAAATTGAATTAATCAATGAAGTAAATTGATTCATAATTTGTATATAAAAGAAAAAATCACTGTCTTTATCGAAAATAGACTATAAATCCTTAATTTGATTATTGATTTTGACAGCAATTATTACGTATAAAAGGATTAAAATAAAACACATTAAAACTAAAATAAAAGTACGGAACTTTGAACATGCACTAATAACATGTGCTGCTGTACAATTTGGATTAACGATTTCTTGGTATGATTGATTTTTGTCATGATTATGATTATTATTTTTATGTTCAATTACATGATTGGTGTGATTGCTGCTGTTTTCATTTATGTTCAGCTAGCGAAAAACATTAACTAATTGTTCAATAGATAGATCATTAAATTGTGGTTGATTATTTTGATGAGTTGAAAAATTATTATGATGGAAATTTTGACGATAGTTAATATACGGTTAGTAGTATAAATCATGTTGAAGCTGGTTAATAATATTAACCAGTATTATATTATTATAATACTGGGGTTGAATATTATTTTGAAGAGGCAGAGAATGTTGAGGACTGTCATGTAGATAGCGATTCCTAAATTCTGACTCTTCTGTTTTGAATAAAGACATTTTTACTAATATGAAGTTTCTTAAGTGAAGAATCAAAAGTATTTTGTAAGCAGTATTTATATATTCATGGCAAGAACAACAAAAAGTCAAGCATAAAGAGCATATAATTAAATATATAATTTCTTTCAATCGGATATTCAATTTGATTATTACTTTAAAACATCTAACAATTACTGAATTATAAAAACAACAAAAATACAGAGCAACAATTAAACAATCATCCACAATAGAACTAACATGAGCAACAAGCATCACAAACATCACGAGAAAAAAATATGTCCATTGATTATAATGACTTTTTGACACTTTAAAATTAGTATAAATTTAACTATTACTGTAGATAACAATAAGAATGCTCGCTCTAAAAATACAGTATTGTCTCAGTAAGATAAACGTGACCTTAATTAGAGTAACCAGAAGATACTCTAAAAATATTTTTATCGATTGTCTTTGTAAGATAAAACGTATTTTTTAAAATCAAATACAATACAAGAAAATATATACTGCAGAATTTGGAATGGTGATTGTTTAATTGTTGGATGTTTTAAAGTAATCAGAAAAAGGTTCACGCGATTCTGAAACAAATTAAATTATCATACTTATTTATATTTTCATACATGGCCTTTTGTTCTTGTCTCTAATATATAAATATAGTTCAAATACTTTGATTCGTCTACATTTTTAGAAACCTAATAATATCTCAATACTCAATCATAATTTTGAAATCTTAAAAACAACTAATCTAGTCTCAATACCACAAAAAATCATCATAATAGCACCCATAAAAATTACAAAAAGAGTTTTACCAAATATTATTCTAACAGACACTGAATATTATAACTATTGTCATCAATATTTTATGCCTAAATCTCTTAAACCGATAAAATATTCTTCAAGGAAATATTTTCTAATCAATTATCTACATTTCATAATACATTAAGATTAATTGACGAGGAATTAAAAAAACAAGAAGGATATGTAAATGGTCTTATTTTTATGGCAGCATGGCGATTTGTTAATGGTATAAAATTTTTCTATTTTACCTATATTATTTCATAGAGAAACTGATAAACTTTAACTTATTTTCTCATAAATTAATATGAAATCGTACAACTAAAAACTCAAAAGACTCAAAAGACTCCAGTAGAGCATCTTCTGTAAGCATTGAAGAAATTTATATCTCTGATCAAAATTCAACTGATATTGGCGATCAAGAACTGGTTTTATCAGAAAATGTCGCTTCAGCTAATGTGAATCTAGCTTCAACTTACTTTTTCTCAGATCAATTATCCTCAAAACAATATCAAAATATTTCATTAACAAACAAAACTGATGAAAATTGTCAAGACTTAGCTTATAATAATTCATTAGTTGATCAAAATTCTAATGAAAATATTAATCAAAATATTAATCAAAATTAAAGTCAATCACAAAAACAAGCGGTCTTTATTTTTTCTAATGATAAAAAATATATTTCTGGAGCTATCATATTTTCAGCTTTTTTAATTTTTGCTTATCTTATCAAGGTAATATTTTATACATTATTTGATTGATTAATTTATTGATTAATTGATTGATTAATTGATTGATTAATTGATTGATTAATTGATTGATTAATTGGTTGATTAATTGATATTTATTTCATTAACAAATCTAATAAAAATTTATTTTAATAGAAAAATTATGATATTGTCAGAATCGTAAACTATGTAAGTGCATTTATAAGATTTGGTTATATCAGATATTTATTAATATTAAATAAAATTAATTTTGATCGTATTACATTGTTTAGACAAATAATAGATTATTCAGAATTATAGAAACTGGGATATTTGATCAAGTAAGTATTTTTAGAAACTGTATATTATATTTTAGATTTAAGTAAATACATAAATATAAGTCTAACGATTATATATTATATATGTAGATAACTCTTTTTTCAAATGCCAAAACCTTCGAAATAGAAAATACTAATCTAAGACTAAAAAACGATGCATTGAGAACTGAGATTGTCAATTTAAAATCTAAAAATGCCGTGCTTCAAGAAGCCCATTCAAACTTATTGTCAAAACATGCTACCCTCGAATCAGAACACGTATACCTTAAATTGTCTCATAAAGAACTTGAATCACAAATTCAAGAATCGAAAAATAAGATTCAGGACCTCGAAATGGAAAAAGTAAATCTTAAATTGTCACACAAAGAACTCGAAGCACAAATTCAAGAAGCAAAGGATAAGATTCAAGACCTTGAAGCACAAATTCAAGAATTAAAAAATAAGGTTCAGGGCCTTGAAGCAAATCGTTTAGAGCTCCAAAAAATACAAACAGATCTCACATTAAAGTACTCTGTTTTACAAAAAGAACTTGCCAAGTTGCAACATGAGAAGGTAGAAAATGAAGAAGAAATTAAAAGATTAAAAATAGAAATTAACGAAACAATTGCTACTAGAAATCAAGTCGAGAGTAATTTGCTGTTAACAATTGGTGAATTGAGGAAAGAAAAGCGTAAAAAAAATGGAAAAATAGATGAACTAAATAAGAAAAATAGAAGAATTGAATAAGAAAATAGATGATCTGAAAGATAAAAAGGTGAATAATGCGGTTGAACAAACAAAAAAAAGATGTAAATGATTTCCTATATATAGTTCTAATTTTTGGATATACTTATGAAGTCATATGAACTTGAATAAATACATGTTTTGTATAATTTTAATTAATAAATATTGTAACATTTTCAAATTCTGTATCTTTTAACTATATAAAATAATTAACGAATGGGCTATTTGTTAGAAATATTTGGTGAAGGGATTGATTTGGATAAGTATTGGCGTGATAAGATAGCTTTGTTACTAAATCTAAGTGAAATTGCATTAATATACATCTGGTTACCAGTTTTGGGAGTAGAATTTTAACAGATAATCGACATTATTTGAATTTTAATCTATAAATAAACAAATAGATACTATTAGAGGGGGTTTTAAGAAACATAATAAATCAATTAATCTAATTATAAATTTCGCATAATTCATATCAGAAACCCTAACTAGGTAGCTATTAATTGCAATTATTTCGACATTAAGGTTCAATTAATTTTACCAATATGTATGACATATAACAAAATACAATTAAATTTTTCGGTAGGTCTAAATTTAATAGTAAGTCTAGTGAATATTCAATTGATTATTATAAACGCGATACAGTTTTAGTCGATTAATGAACTAATTAATGAATTGATTAATTGATTAATTAATTGATAATTAGTCAATTGGTTCGATAATTGGGTTAAATATTTATGAGCTTGAATAGCTTATCCAAACACATTGATTAAAAAATTCTCTACATCAACAACAAATAAATAAGAATCATTAGGTTATCCTTACACGAAAAAGAATGGTCTTTTATCTTTACTATAACTAATAATGAACATAGAGAAAAAAATTTTTATTTCATGCATAAAAGTGTATATACTCCAAACCGATCTTGTCAAACCTGATAATTAATTATCAAGTCGTTTCTGCTATAAAAACCTCCTTTTCTGACCTTCCAAGATTTTTAATATTTAAGAATTACAAAAATATTCTGTTAAGTTTAAACATGCCACCCAAACTATAAACCCTCAAAATCCTACTCAAAATACAAAATAAAAACTTAATAAAATTGTAATCACAATTTCAAATTCAATAAGTTCTGTCAAAGAGATTATGATCATGAAATTTTGAGTAAAAATTATTCCAAAGAATTATTTCTTCTAGCTTAACAATTTATTTGAGTCTTCCCAAACAATCTTTTCAAATCAGAATGAGACTTTGGTTTGAAATAATCTGTCAGTTTAAAAGGTTTAAACAATGTCGTTTGGGTTTATAAATTGTACAGGCAATCCTTTTAAGGTATTTTTAATATTGTCTTTATCGTCTTTGCTTATTTTGTATTTTTTGCCAATAAAGAACAAATAAAAATAAAGAAATGTATAGAAAACCTATAATAAGCCTATAATAAAAATATGTAGTGCTAATTCTGGATTCGAATAGATTGAAATAATTGCAAGAATGATAACATAGATAGGAAAAAAAATCATAAGACTTAAATTTACTAAGTTGTAATTTCTAATTTTTTTTTTCTTGCCTTTCATAACCTTTATATAGTGTAATGTTTGATTATTGAATAATCCATCTAGCAACTCGTCTCCAATATCCATAGTTTGAATGTCGTCTTTCTTGAGGGTTTTATTTAAAATACATTTTCTGATGGATAATATTAGTGATATAGTTGCACTACCGATGGATAATATTAATGATGTAATTCCACTTAGACTCATGAAGCCTGATGCGATGGATTCAACTTTTTCAATGATTTTTTCCTTTCCCCACCATAATGTTGCACCAATAATAATAGTAAAAATTGCCCAAATAGACTTATTACAAATAATTTATATCCTTTGGCTAATTGTTCTAAAGCTCTTCTGTATTGATGTTCCAATTCTGATATATTACTCCTTTTTCTTTGAAGATCTTGAAGATATATTACACAGACATTTTGAAAGGGCCTATTATTCATGCTGTTAGGATAGATTGGAATGTATTACGTGACGAATTCTTTTTATAACGAATTCTCTTTACAAACAGAAAACCATCTTTCATTTATAATCAACACTCTAGATCATTATTTCCATTATTCCTACTTAATGGAAATATTTGATCCCTAATTATTCTATTATTTAAATAAAGGAGTACAGTTTTAAAAAGGAGTGAAGAGCGAGTGAATGGACAGAAATCATTTGATTTAAAAAGTCCAAAGAGATAATTTCAGACAAAGTTAACTTAAGGTATATATCAGAGCTCTCAGATTTTTATAGCAGCAAAAATAGCACTAGTAATATTACGGCAACCACATATTCAAATGCAGTCAATTTAATTCTGTATATCCATAGATAATGGAATAAAATTTCACCGAATTTAGTTTAGTTGTTTTCGTGATATCGCTTTTTTTTTGATACTATAAAAATCTGAAGGCTCTAGACTATCCACTATTGTTATAAATTCTAATCAATCAAAGAGCCTTTTCAAAGTGAATTTATTAGTAGATTTGTAGGTGCGAATTTTCGTATTGTAATGTATTGTATTAACCTATGTATGTGCACTAACTTGGAAGTAAAATAAAAAATATATTATAAGAGCTTCTAAATTTATTCTATCGCATAATATATTTTTTATTTTACTTCCAAGTTAGTGCACACGTATAGGTTAATACAATACAATTACAATACGAAATTCGCACCTACAAATCTACTAAAAAATTCACTTTGAAAAGGCCCTTAGAAGCTCTCATAATATATTTTTTATTTTACTTCCAAGTTAGTGCACTCACATAGGTTAACACAATACATTATAATACAAAATTCGTACCTACAAATCTACTAGTAAATTTGCTTTGAAAAGGCCCATTAATGGACATATCTTTTTCTTGTGATGTTTGTTGCTCGTGCTAGTTCTATTGTGGATTATTGTTTAATTCTATATTTTTTTTGTCTTTCTAATTGTTAGATGATTTTAAAGTAATAATCAAACTAGATATCTGATTGATAATGAAACTTCAAGATTGGTATTTAAACAATTAAACAATTCAAGAAATTTTATATTTAAATATATGCTCTTTTCGCTGGGCTTTTTTTTTTGCCATTAATATATAAATACTGTTCACAAATACTTTGAATTCTCCACTTGAGAAACTTCATATTAGTATAAAAAATGTCTTTATTTGAAACAGAAGGGTCAGAATTTAGGAATTACTATTTACGTAACAGACTTTAAAATAATCCTCTTGAAAATAATCCTTTTCAAAATAATTTTCAACCCCAGTATCATATTAACAAGCTTCAACATGGCTTATACTACCAACAATTAGTTAATGTTTTTCGCCAGCTCAACATAAATGAAAACATAAATGAAAACGTAATTGAACATAAAAACAAAGAAATGAACAACCAAATTCATGAAGATTTTAGTTATGATGATAAAAATTATTCACGTCAAGAAATGGCTTTTACATATATTGTACTTTGGCGAGCACAACCACAAAAGAAAGTTTCAAAGCTCGGTACTTTTATTTTGTTTTTATGTGTTTTGTTTTATTCCTTTTATCCGTAGCAATTGCTGTCAAATTCAATAATCAAGTTAAGGATTTACAGTCTATTTTCGATAAAGACAACAATTTTTTCTTTTATATACAAATTATGAATCAATTTACTTCATTGATTACTATTTATATTGTATTCAATTATTTTTTGAATATATGTATTTGATAGATTTAATTCCAAGTTTGTTCTTTTTAAATTGAATCAATTTTTATCTCACTTATTCATCTCTTTAGAAGTAGTTCTTTTGTAGTTCTTTTTAGTGGTGGTTTTTTTCTTTGTTTTTCATTCGCTGCTTTAATAGTATTAATACTTTGTCTTTCGACATTTTGACAATTCTTTTGAAGTATTTTCATTTTTTGCTTCTATTTTTCTTTTGATTTTTATGCAAATATTAAAATAAAATATTATAGTATTGAGGAGGCATCTCATAATTTGAACGAAAAAATTTTGTGCGATACCATATGACTAGTGATCAGATATGTCGTGATCTAATTAATGCGTAATCCATATCGGGTATCACGATTTTTAATTAAAAGTCTAAAATATTGATGCATAATTAATATTTTAAGGTCGATCTAAAAAAAAGGGAGGTACCAAAACTTTTGTTCCCGCAATTCTTAGTGAATAACTATATAAGATTCATATTCAATAAAAAGTTTGTTATAAGCTAATTATATATATAAATTCACATAACGGACTTGAAAGTAGAAAATTTTAATTTTGTAAAAAATCTCGTGTGACCTAATAAAATCAATATAGCGATAGCCATAGCGATAACCACTATCAAATTTGTAAAAAAAAAAAAACAAACACCAACTTAAAAATAGGTGTTCATTATTATAAACATAGAGATAGTGAAAATGTACAGTATCATAGTGCCTGATATATGAATAAAGTGATTAAAGTGTATTTTGTTAATATCTTTAGAATTTTATTTATATGTCAATTCGATCAAAAAAAAATCAGACTATCGATCGTTTATCTAATAGTAGAATTGTGAACCATGCTAAATTTAATAGGATATCCAAGGATTTACTACAGTATAATCATTGGATCAGTTCACATGTCTAACTAATAGTGAAACTATATGTTTTATTTTGTGTTATTAAGAAGTAATTCATAATTTTCATATAACAATATCAATTATAAATTAAACTAGA